CCTAATTAAAAATATGAAACAAAAGTTCACTCTCTCACACAAATGCAAATGAAGCTGGAATGCCATTATTCGCATACCAGATTACTGAAGCTTTTAAAACTCAATGTTCCTTGTTGGTGAGATCATGGTAATCTACCAAGGCTTGCACATCTGTGGGCGTACCAATGCGTGTACAAATGGGTCTTTCCTTTCTTAAAGGTGGTTAGGTAATATTTAGTAACATCTTTAAATATCTGAATACTATATAGTAATAATTTCATTTCTCAAGGTTCTGACATAGTACATCCACTTGGTAGCCTATAATATGTACACATGTCTAATACTGTGCTTCCAAGTATCTAATGTCACAAGGAAATGTTCATGCTAACATATTAAACAATGTAGACAGAATACAAAACTCTAGATTGGTGTTCTATTATAAGTGCATAATTTTAATACTATAATTATACACAGGAGAGGAAAAAATACCAAAAAAACCCCAAAATATCAATGGTGTTTATACTTTTAGCTGTACAGTATTTTATGATGTCCCAAAATATATTAGGTTAAGTCATATGACATTGTAATTGTGCAGGTCAAAATGTATTGGCATTTTCATACACTGAGCATTCTTAGCCTTAACTTAATAAACTTAATATTAGTTTAAGTATAGATAACTTATATGTATACATTACAATTAATAGTAAATACTTATTAACATAACAAAATATTATATTGTTAATCACTCATAAGTTTATTAAGTTGTAAATTTAAGTTTTATTAAAGTAATTTCATAACATTGCTAATGTTCACAAACAATAATACAGTTCATAATATATTTAGCTATACCCTCAACAACAACATTGTTTTTTTAAAAGCTTCAATAATATGATAAGTGAATGGGTCTTTGTTCTTCTTTTATTAATTTTTAACTTATGTTCTCAGCAAAAAAAAAAAAAAAAAAAAAACAACTTTGAAAATGAAGAGCTGCTTTGTAGGGTTAGGAAAATGAGTCTTTGAAAACATTACATATTTGGAAGATTCAATGACCATCAAAGAAATGCTAGAGAAGAGAATAAAAGGCATGACGTTCTGCTACATGGCACATGTACCAGGGAGAATGTTTTGCTTCCAGTGTGCCTAAAATCCCACATGCCCTGAGGAGACCTACTATAAGACTGCAGTCCAGATTCTACAGGTCTTGAATAGACATTGTTACTCGTCTTAGAAAACCTCTGAGTTTTCAGTTGTACTCACTGACATTCCATACTTAATATGTAATTGGTCCCACAAATTGTTGGCAATTCGGTGTAAATATTTCTTTAACTGACAAGTTTTAGGTCTAATGTTATGATTAATATATAACAAAGTACTTTATTTAAACAAGAGGTAAATAGCCAAGACACAAAACAAACCAGAATGGGTCATGCTGCTAACTGATATGGGGCTTTTTAATGCTTTCTACAGCTTGTTTTTTAATAGCAGAACTGTGTATTTTATTATGAACAATAGACTTGCCATTTCCCTTTCCAGCCTTAATTATTCAATAAACAACCACACAGTTTCATGCAAAGTTCTGGGACAAGTCTTGACCCAGTTTTGCTACCATACCACATATGGAGTGTAATGGCCAGACCTACCAGTGCCCTAAACTTGCTAAGACCTCACTGGCAGAAGGATCTTTAATGTACGAAGCAATCATTTTAGAAGGGCAGAAATCACAGAAGGTGAAAAAAATAAAACAGTGAGATGGAAAATTTGGGTCTAAAATCAGAAGGATCTTGGATCATTAATCTTTCTGGGTTACATTAGTGCTGAGGTAGTGGTTCAAAGAGAGAAAAGGGGGAATAAGTGTCAAATTTTAAATATCATGCACTTAATTTTTAATTATTATCTCTTCTGATTGTTGTCTTTCTACACTAGCATGAGAACACACGCACGTGCAATACTCACACACACACACACACACACACACATTTTCTGTTTTTTTTCTTTCACCTCTAAATTCTGCATCACACAATTAGTGCTTTGATTATTTCCCCCCACTTTTATAAGATGTTAAGTACCTCATTAACATTTCCAAAAGGTCATAAGTCACTGAAATTGGGTAACATTTGTTTAATACTCTGGAATTTGAGGCCACTTATAGCAATAACTAAAATTTCTAGCAGGTCAGAAACCTATTCTGTTATCATGTATATCAAGTTCCCCACATAAAGATTTTTGAAATACTGTTAAGCTTCTAACATACTAATTTTGTTCTTCATTTTAAAATAACTTTAGAATAAAAGAGCCACGGTTTTATGAAGATGTTGCAGTTCATGTTAATGTAATTTTCCCACTCTTATTTTCTAATTGTCACAGTCATATAAAATTATTTCCAAAGTAAACATTTGCAAAATTCAGTATGTAAGAAAAACAGAAAAGCCTAAATAACCCCACTGGGCCTAGAGATAACTAGCAGCAATAGTTGGTTTCCATGCCTCCAACTTTACTCTTATATATAATTGTATTCACTCCTTCTTTTCCTCTTTGAAATCTACTTTGCTGCCTGTTCATAAAGGCACCACTCTTTCATTTACATACGGAAGGAATCAACTTTACTAGGGAAACTACAGAGAGATAACTTATAGGCAGAAAACTGTAAGGATAGTCAGAGGTCTAATAAGTCTCTGCCAGTTTAGCCAGGCTGTTCCTAATCATATGACCTACAGAAAGTTGTTTAAAAAATATATCTAGTTATGGAAAGTTATAAATAAATTTTAAACAAGACACCCCAAATTCAAACCAAGATGGCTGAGGTTTTAGTCTGGGGCAATACAGTGTTTTTATCACATCATTTGGTGTTTAAAGGGACATAGTAAAGTACTGACAGACTGATCTGCCCTTCCCTAGGCTTCTGGCTTGTGCAAGTGACTGTCCCTCTGCATTCCTCAGCCAGCATACCCGAAGCAAAGCCCAATGGCTAAGCTTCCAAGAGGCAGATAGGTGACAAACATCTGCTGAGAACCAGGAGAAAATGCAGCTGGGGGCCGGGCCTAGAGGAGTTCAGAGATAGAGTCATTGCTTATCAAAATAAAACCCACTACAAAACAACTGTTTCAATCCAGTGCTCTGTGTTCTAAACTCCCTAGATTAATCACTGTGTAGTCTCTAGCCAAGCTCATTAAAAGGGAAACTCTGGCCTCCTACCATGATTGGTGTTTACTGTTCTTCCAAACTAGAGGGCTTTCCCAGCAAGGACAAGGAGGACTCAGGGAAGCCACCAGCTCCTGGGCTTTCTTTACTGGAGACAAAGAAGAAATTTACTTTTACATTCCATTTAAAAAACTAATCTTCAAGAAGCATTTCATGTTTGCCTTTAAGTGAAAAAGTGGACAGTATTTTCCTCTGTTCACCAGCTATGTTTTGCAATCTCTGGGGCTGCAGGCCTCTGGAATCTGTGATCTCTCAGATGAGTTAGTTATCAGACAAGGCTGATGAGCATGGAGAGCCCTCCACAGCATTATGGGTACTCAGGCATTCTTGTCCCAAGGGCGTGGAAAGTCACACACCTCCCAACAGGCTTCTGCCATTCCAATCCCCTCAAATCTCCTGGACCAGCCAAGAGTCTGACCTTCCACTCTTCACAGGAAAGGGTGAAATTTTTCAGGAGGAAGGCCCAATAGGTTAAAAGCCTTTCTTCCACAAATATTTGCTAGCCCAGGGCAGCCCAAGGGAAAGTTTGCAGCCTGCTGCCACTACTGCAGGGCAATGAAGAGACATTCAAGAAGCATATTCAGCTGGTGACTAGGAATCAGACACCTAATACCAAAGCGAATGATTAAATCCAAACCCACACAACCTTATGGAAAACCAAAGGAATTTACCAAACTCCCACTTGCACAGGAAAACCACCCATGAAATAGTCTTCTTGCAATTTCCAAAGAAATTTCTGCTTTGCTGGGTGGTATCAATCTTGTCATTCTAAGTTTTAAAACTACCTGACATAAGGACTCATTTTCCTAAAGTTCTACCTGTTCAGCACTTGACTATTCAGCTTACACTACAAAGTCTGTTTTGATTTTATTTTGGCAGAACATTCCTGACGGCCAAAATCCACTTCTTCCTTCCCTCCTAAAAATTCTCCCGTCCTCTAACCCTCACCCCAAATTCCTGGGATATGTATGCTTTGTGAAGTATGAAAAGACCAAAAGCCAAAGAAGAAAAACGCAAAAGCTGTGGGAGACATCCCTTCTAACTGTCACGCGCAAGAAAAGCCTGGGAGTGCGGGGTCCGCCCAGCCCCACTCTCGGGAAGTCAGAGCCAGGCGCCCGGAAGGACCTGGCGAGGGTGCGGGTCCCGGGGACGACAGAAAGGGGCGTTTCCCCTTCCCCTCCTCCTAGGGAGCCCGGAAAGCACGACTGGGGCACGGCCAGGTGGCACTGGTGTGAAGTCTCCTTCACAATTTTTTCTTTGCTAGTGAAATCACAGCTTCTTTTTCCAAGTCCGAGAAGCCGAGGCAGGCTGGGCTCGTCCGGCCAGTGGCGTGAGGAGAGGAGCGCTGTCAGCTGGGGCGCTGCACCCTACTCGAGCCAGGGCGCCTGGCACACGCGGGTTCGAGGGCTCTGAACCGCGCCGGGGGCGGTGGGACCCGGAGCCGAACCGAGCACCGGGCTGTAAAACGCGCAGGGAGCGCGGTTCCCTCCACCAGCGCCCAGTTCGCGAGCGCGGGCAGACCCGTCCCGCCTGCGGTTCCCGGACCAGGCTCGCAGCGGGCTGCCGGTTCCGGAGCTCTACCAGGGACCCCCGCCCAGCTGCCCACACCCACCTCGGGCCTCGGCGCCGCCCCGGGCCCGAACAGGACCCCCGCGGCCTCTCAGGCACCCACCCGGCTGCAGACCCCAACAGGGACCCCACAGGAGCCGCGTCCCGCAGGGCAAGTTGGGGCGAGAGCGGGGGCTGAGGGCGAGGCCGCGAAAGCGAGTGAGAGCGGGCGGAGGGATGGTGGTGTCGGGGGCGCGGGACACGCCAGGACTTACCAAGCGGCTCCCTCATGCTGCCCCGCGTCGCGTCGCCGCCGCCGCCGCCCGGCCGGCCGAGGACCAGCGCGACCCGCCCCGCCTCAGCCGCCGCGGCCGAGCATGCCCGGAGCGCCGCTGGCCAGCTCCGCCCACCGCCACACAGCCCCGCCCACCGCCGCACAGCCCCGCCCACCGCCACACAGTCCCGCCTCCCGGGCTCGCCCCGCCCACCGCAGACCCGCCCCGCCTCCGCAGGCTCGCCCCGCCCACCGCTGCGCCTTCTCCAAGCTAGCCGCCGAGAAAGCCGCCTGGCCCTGAGAGGAGAGCCAGGCCCTAGAGCCTCCCTAGGCCTGCTGAGTGTCAGGAGTGCCAGAAAGGCACAGGTGGGCCAGCCACCCTGTCCTCTTCCTGTCACTTGTGTTTGAGCAATTTATACCTTGGGTGAACATCCAGAGATGCACGGACACTCAGAAACACACGTTAAGGACACTGGTACAGGGGCACACACATGCACAAATACCCACTCACATGCATACATGCACAGACAGTGTCCCGCACACACTGGTACAGTTAGCGACCAGAGGAAGAGCAGAGCACGGCTGAGCGTTGGGTGAGGGCTCCGGACCAGCCGGCCCGGGTTCCTTCTGCAGCTGAGGCCCGGGAGCCAAGTCCTTCGTCCGGAGGGCAAAGAGAAGAGAGGGACTCTAGGAGTCCCAGGGTGCTGGTCCACACCCCACCAGCACCCTTTCAAAACCGGGTTTTCTGAAAACCATCTGGCCCTGCCTCGCTTACTAGTGTAAGACCAACAGTTTTTGTTTTGTTTTGTTTTGTTTTGTTTTGTTTTGTTTTAGACTCTATGGAGCAAAACACAAACGCTATAGAATTCAGTAGGGCAAGAAGAGCCACAGGTATTAATGCTGGAAAGGGGAGAAAGATGTAACCAGCTGCTGTATCAGGCACTAGCAGCAGGACCTCCAAGGCCCAGGTGGGGGAGACGCAGCAGGAAGCGGATGGGCCTCTGGCAGCACCAGTTTGGGTCCCCGCGTTGGCTGCTTTCACCACTTTACGGCTGTTGGCCTCAGCTTTCTCTCTTATAGAGGGGGCGTAAGAACAAGGCTGAGCCTCAGAAGAATCATGGGAATTGACGGAAACGCTGCCTCCTTACCGCTCGCTGTCACATTGATTCTTGGCAAGAATGTCCACGATGGTAGCTGCTCCCATGAACTGGTGCTGCTAGTATGATCCGTGTTGGCACTACTGGGGAACTTGGGTTCTCGCTAACGGAACAGGGGGTGTGGCCAGCCGGGACTCCAACAATATCTTCAGGCTGGGGGAAATGTTTCATGAAAGAGAAGTAAATATAGACTTTTGTGAGAGTTAGTATTAATGGCTTCTTGTCATAAAAGCATCTGTCAAGGATGGGTCTCTTCAATGGCATGCAGCTTCTTTCTTTCTTCTATTTGCTACCACCATGAAATAACTTTGTGGTGGGGCCGGGGAGATGGGTGGGGCCAGGAAGATGGCTAAATGGAATGAGGGCAAGTGCAGGGACCTAAATTCAATACCCAGTTTTGAAAAAAAAAAAAAAAACTTTTGTGGTTGTGGGCCACCTATATGTACCCCTTTTCTAAAAGCAAACAGTTGTATACATGTTTATATGTATTATATATAAATATTATATATACATGTCTACATATATATAGACATGTATATATAATATAAGCTGCATGAATCTATCCACTTATTTACATTTCAGACACATACAGAGCCAGATGTTCCTGCAAGAACATTTACCAGCTTGTGAATTAAGACTAAGCCTTGTTTCCTCATAGAACAATGTCATGTTGTTGGTTTCTGGGTCAATCCCACACAAGTTTTATAATGTATCTAGAATGTTGTAGAGTTGCTGTAGAAAACATTGATGTAATGCTAGGAAAAAAGCTAAACAAAACAAAATTAAGTTTAATAGCCAATTCTGTTCCAGCAGAAAAGTTGACAAGACAGATTTAATTAGGGGAAAGTAATGAGATTGAAACATTGGAGTCAAAAGAACATGACTACATAATTTTAAGGGTTTCTTGACCTGGCTTTTTATCACAATGACCTTGTTTCAAACTATTTGGCTCCTTTGCTCAGCACTGATGTACACCAGTCCTATTCTAATACTTTCTGGCCATGAGAGCCTTAAGCGCATTAGAAATGAAGAACATGGGGAGGAAGATGGTGACAGTCATGGAAGAGGAGAAGACATAGCTCAGAAAACACCTATGTATGTTTGCTTTGGACTCAAGAGTCCACAGTCTTCCTCCTCCTTACCTCCTCCTCTCCAAGTCATCATCCACATTCCTGCAACTACAGCCCCTTCATCCTACCTATCTGGTGTTGGAAGATTTGAACCCAGAAAAAATAGCCTGTAATTATAGTAAAATTACATATAAAATATGATTGAAAACAGTTTTTAGCACCATCATGTCAGAAATCTAGCACAGCAGATGCCCAGTGTCCCTGCCTTCCTCTGAGTCCTGGGAAGAGATTTCACAGATTCAGGAAGGAACTTGGATCATTGAGTCATCAGGGCAGATGCTGACTGACCAGTGGAAACATGATCAAGAGCTCGCTTAAGGAAAAAGTTAAAGAGAAACAAGACAAAAAGCTTGGTTTCTTTAATGCACTGCTTTTTCAAAGGTCTAGAACAAATCCTCTGCTCTCTTCCTTTTAGGGCCCTTCTCTGATGCCTGTAAAGTTTCCTTCAGCTGATTTAAATAGTCTTTGATATTTTCCCCTTAGTTTGTTAAAACAGTACCAGTTAGTTCTCATATTTTTTTAAAAGATCAATGTTCTTGATAACACCTTGAAATTCCTCTTGTTGACTTTTTCTAGAAAGCAAACAACAATAGCTATACAAAAAAAAATAGAAAAGATTAACAAGTGCTAATCAAACTTGTTTTGGGATGTTTCAGCACTCTATATTAATTTAGTGGCCATAATGTATAATTATTTTTAACTAAGATCTAAAAACCTTCCTCCAAATGTCCTGTGTGGACCAACTATTTCAGAATCAGTGAGAGGATTTGATTGTTAGATTCTTGGGTCTCTTCATCAATACATTTGATCAGAATTTCTAGTTTCTGTGGATGAGAGCCAGGAAATTGTATTTCAAGCAACTGTCTAAATGATTCCTACACATAGTAAAATTTGAGAAGCAAGGATTCAGCATAAGAAATGGAGATAATGTGTGCAACATTATAATGGAGCGAGTGGCACACAATATGCACACAAAACACAATAGTTAGTGCCATCATGTTGAATAATAGAGACTAACACAGCAAGGTCCTCTGTGAGTCAAGTGAGCTAGATGCTCAGTAATCACTGACTGGGAAGGCTGGATATTAACTGCAACAAAATCTACAATCCTAGGGTCTGATTAAAAAAAGAAACAACATTTTTCAATTATATACCTTCAGATTAAGGCACTGAAATCTGCATGGTTATTGCATTAGAAAACTCATTTTTAATTATTGGGCTTTATAATTTTTTAAAAAATTATTGGGCCTTATGATTTCAGCATTTCCTCACATAAGGCTATACACTGTGGGAAACAGCTTGTTTCTGTCCCTGGAAAACCCTGTTACCACTGATCCTCACTAAAGGCAGCTGTTTACTAGAGATAGAAAGAGAAGTCCAAGCATCCTCCTTCCTGCCTTCTGTAACTCTGCTAGATTCATAAGGAAAACCCTTAGGTGGTGATGCTTCCAGGGACTGGCCGTGCATGGCTGAAATCCTGTACCTGAACACAGAGGTGCAGCCAGCACCAGAAGGCTCCAGATGTAAAGACCCCGGGCTAGCTCTCCCCCATTACACACAAGCTAATAAAGAATCAACTCAAAGAAACCCAGGTAACCTGTTAACCCGGTGTACTTTATTTTCTTTAGAGAAGGAAATACAGGTTTGGGAATATAACTCAGTGGTAGAATACTTGCCTAGCATGTGCAAGGCCCTGGTTCTATCCCCAGCTCTAAAAGAACAAAACCTACCAAAACAAGCAAACAACACCACAAAGAAAAGTGAATACCATGAATCAAGCTGATTACCAACATCACTGTAAAAAGAATGCTTCCATTTGGGAAAAGGATAATCAAACAGGCATTTATTAATCCAGAAATAGTTGACAACACAAAGCTGACATGAAGGAAGGAGAGGGTGATGAGAACTGCCCTTTGTTCATCTTCTCTTATTTTTAAAATGTATTTAGGACAGGGCCTATGGGGTCTCTAGGGTCTTACTACACAGATCGCACTTATAGTGATTCTCCTGTTTTCAGCCTCCCAAGCTCTGGGATTGCAGGCCTGCGCCATCATACCCAGTCTCAATCACCACCTCAGTATACCCTGGGGGTAGGGCCAGCATGGCATGCTGGGGATTGAACCCCGGCCGCTGCACTCTGCCTAAGCTGGCACTTTAGTCCCCTGAGCTATTTGGTTGGCCCCTTGTCTTCTCTTATGAGCCAGATGGTCAGCTTGGCCTTGATTTGTGTCCTTTCATCAGCATACACATAGAGTTTATTAACAGGACTGTGTGATTCAAAATAGTTATTCTAGTTGGGTGTTGAGGAAAATGTAAATATCCCATTAAAGAAAGCTTTCCATCCCACTATTTGTCTGCCTTTTTAAAATTTCCCTTGCCTTTTGTTTAAGCAGTTAGTCAGCTCTCTGTCGCTGTGACAAAACACCTGAGGTAGTCAATTCATAAGCAAGAAATATTTGTTTTGGTTTGTATTTTCAGAGGTTTTGCACATTAGTTTTGTTGCTTCTGAGAAAAAGAACACCATGGTAGGCAGTCCGGAAGCCAAAGAAGAGAGAGGAGAGACCAGAGCCTCCATGCCCCCAGTGACCTAACTTTCTCCATCTAAGTCCCACCTCCTAAAGTTTCCACCAGCTCAAGACCTTAGCTGGAGCCAGAATCTTTAACAAGAGTGTCTTTGGGGGCATTCAACCCTAAGCTGCTAATATAGCACTTGCCATATATGCCTTCGATTTCCTTTATCAGTGTACTTTCTTAGTTTAGCTACTAGATTCTGAATGCTGGTGGAAGGAAC